CGAGTGTTTCGGTCGTTTCTGGGATATGGTGGGATTTTGTACCCCTCTCAGACCGATGTTTCTATATAGTAGGTCAAGTCAGTTGCCCATGAAAAGCTGCTAAAGTTTACTATTTTTCCTATAGCTCTTTCACATCAGTTGGTCAAATAATGTACTTGTAGATCTATCTAGTTGTAGTTGTAGCGTCTATGGTGGTGGGTGGTTGGCGGGTGCTCTGGTGTGGTTTGCTCCTTCTTTCCTATCAAACATCTATCGTCCTGATCTCTCCTCCTTCTTTTTTGTGTTTGTTACTCTCTTGTAACACATCTGATCTTCGGCACTTATATAACCTTATTGTGTTGCAAGTGCTGTAAAACTCTTACTAAAAGTTAGTAAGCTTGATTCAGACACAGCGTCTATGATGTAGCGGTTAGAAACCCGAGTTCGATTCCCGGGTTGGGAGAAAATTTTTCATCGAGTATCTCGATCATTGCAGAGTATGCCAAGACGTTGTATTCTTCTCAGACCAGATGTGTCTGTGTAGTAGCCTGGGCCAAGTCAGTTGCGCATGAAAGGCTGCTAAAGTTTACTATTTTTGCTATAGCTCTTTCTCATCAGTTGGTCAAATAATGTACTTGTAGATCTATCTAGTTGTAAACTTGGTTCAGACTTGGTTCAAACCCGAGTTCGATTCTCGGGTGGGCAGAAAATTGTTCATTGAGCGTGTAGGTCATTATAGAGTATGCCTGGACATTGTATACCTGCCCTGTCACATAGATGTGTCTGTATAGTAAGTTAAGTACTTTTATTGCGACAGCTCTGTCTCATCAGTTAAATAATGTGCCTCAATAGCAGGTCAAGTGAGTTGTCCATGAAAAGGCTGCTAAAGTTTACTATCTTTTCCTATAGCTCTTTCTCATCAGTTCTTATGCAGTTGCGAGTGCCGTAAAACCCTTACTAAACTAGACTTTCTCATCAGTTGGTCAAATAATGTACTTTGCGGAGTAGATCTATCTAGTAGTCTAGTTGTAAGCTTGTTAGAGACTGGTGACTGTGGTGTAGCGGTAAGGAGCTTCGCAGTCGCTAACAAAAGACCCAAGATCGATTCCTGTGAGGGGGAACATTTTTTATCGAGTGTCTGTCTTTCTGCTGGGATAACGACATGCACAAAATCAATCTGGTTGTGCAAATATCTATCTATCTGTCTGTGTGTCTGTCTGTTTCTTTCTCTCTTTCTCTGTCTCTGGGTCTCTCTCTCTTTCTCCATGTCCGTCTA